ATTGATTTCACAACAAATGTCATAATGCTCTCTTTGAAACCCAGCACTTGTACTCAAACGTTCCCCGTTTGTGCTCGGACTTGCTCTTCTCCTCATGCTGCTTCTTCAATCATCATTCAAAGCTCTAAATCCAAAAGGTTCTTACTTAATAAATCATTTAAATATTATTGATCACTGTTTCCTCTGGAAATGTTAGAGACCAAAGACAGAAATTTAAAAGAATTAATGTTAAACAACGCTTACTTTCTCAGTAATAAGTGAATGTATTGTGTTTTCTATGAACCAAATAAATAAAAATATGCCACTGTAGATCTAAATGAAAATTTTAATCTAATAAAGAGTAATTTTGTTATCTGTAAAGCATCGTGGGATATGATAAAAAAGCTCATAAATAGACTGTAGTGAAGCTTTAAGCCCAAATTTCTTTTGAATACTCAAATTGTACATATAATAGGAACGCAACATCCAAGATACAGTTGACAGTATTTGAAAGATGATAATTTAACATCAGTGTTAAAGATAAAAAATGTGTTTGTCTGAGAGCACTGGATGATGAGATCGTCTTGCAAGTGAATGACATGTGTTGTCTGATCTACAGTTAAGTTCTACATCTCAGTATAAACACACTCGTGAGTTTAGTTGTTGTTAAAAACACGTACCGTCCACGGACGTGAGCGGGTCCTTGGCTGAAGACCCTTGAGTTCTCCCCATCTTCAGAAGCCTGGAGTTCGATGTCTCTTTTCTGAGCCCAGGATTTTCTATTCCGCCGCTGTAGGAGGGCCTCAGGCGAGACGAGGGGGCCCCGTGCTCCTCTGGGCTCACCCCACCCCCGTGCAGTGACAGACGCCCAGAGAGATACTGCCTCAGGGCTCCCAGGAGAAGGTCACCCTCCGATTGCGTGGCCAGGAGCTGGTCGACGAGAGGTCTCTGCTTCTCCAGGGGTTGGCGAGATGAAAGTGAGTAGAAGCTGGAGGGAGATGAGTTTTGAGTCGAAGTCTGGGCCTTGGAACGATGGAGGTCTGCTGGGAGGCCTGACTGGAAACGGTCACTCTGAAAGAATGAAGACAAACGCATGTATTCACAGCAACGTTGGTTATAAAATCCGATCGCCCCCAATCCGACTGATCTTCGTGTTTATAGCATAATTCCACTGCTGTCAGTGATTTACCTACAAATAAAAATCAATCTCAAACAAAATGATTGAACTCAAATGTGCATATAGGCAGCTTCAGACCCTGTTTCTTTGCTTTACACGAATGCATTTGAAAGAGAATAAAAATGGATGCATTGTGTGTAAATTTGGAAATAAAACAAATCCGAACGTGGCTGGATTTTCTGCCTCCACTCTGCTCGGTGAGAGCAGTTCAGTGCAGGCACCACACGTTGCTCATCCAACATTCGAACAAAAATAATTGTTGACATGAAAATAAAGCCCATTTTTTTTATTAATCCAATTATGCCGTCATATTAGCATATCCATCAGCTGCAACAAAAGCAAATTGTCACTGCCGGCTCCATTAACGCCCACCTGGGAGCACAGAGATGCTACAAGCTGGAGTAACGGTAAAATTATCATAACAATGCCAACACACACAGTTAACTTCCTCACAGTCGTCGCACTTCTTTATCACTGGTGTGTGCGAGGCCCCTTCTGGTTGCACAGTAGATGCAGTTGATCTCACCCCTACCCTCCAGAGCCCCTCATCCTCCTGTTCCGTTTTTTGTTTCCACCAAACCAGGAGCCCGGAGCCTCGGCCACAGGCTCCATGTGGTCTTTGGTACAATCCCCCAGCAGGGGAAAGGCCTGTTTGGTAGTGGCGGAGGAACCGGTCACATGGAGAGTCATTAATTAGAGCTGTGAACTCCTGAACCCTCCGCTGGTATTATATCGCTTGCAACGGTCATGCTGGGAAAAGTCATCAGTTAGGACAGAGATGCAAGAGCGGAGTGACAGCGAGGAATGACACCGGACTCCCTGTTGTGAAGGTGTGGGAGTTTTTATATGACTGGGTACTTTGAATGTGTACGAGTGTGTACTGCATGTGTACGAGTGTGCACTTTATTCTTAGACAGAGGCAGGTGGCTGTGCATCGCGGGTGGGGCTACATGCAGATGCAGGGGTTAAATAAAACGCCCCGGGTTTTGTGTGAAACTGGGAACAAGAGGAGATGAACTGTTATATAATATTCTTCTGATCTGATTGATTAATGCAAGAAAACTGATCAGAAATGTGCCGAGGAACCTTGTGATAGGACCAAACATCTTTTAAACTGTTTTAACCATCCCTGCAACAGGAAGAACAGCACAGAGACCCACAGAGACAAAGTGAGCTCCCAGGAACCCCTCACCTTGCCGGGAACGCTCAGGCTGGCAGAGGACAACGTCTTGGGGATGAGGCCGAGACGCTGAAGGTACGACTGCAGGTTTCTGTTGAGCTCCACCTCCACTGGCTTCACTCTCTGGTCCACTGGGTCCATCGCCTCAGCTACCGGCCTGTCAAAGACACGTAGAGATGGAGATGTAGAGCCATTCACGTTCTGTCTCCACCAATATGGAAAAGACAGGATCTGGTGACCCATGGTGGGTGAAAAGAACCAGTGATGATCTAAGCAGGTGAACATCTGACCTGCTGCTGCTTTTGTAGACAGGTCCGCTCTGCTGCGGCCTGTAGGGAATCCTCCTCAGTTTGGATAACTCCTTGGACAGAACCTGCTGGGTGGCGTCGTCCTCCCAGGTCAAACCTATAGGCAGAAACACAGGGAACCTTTAGAACCACATCAGAACACACAAGAACACAAACAAACGAAGACTTCATTGAAGTGTGATATATCTGTAGCACGAGGGAAGAAGTGTGGACGTCCCCAGAACTTATTATAGAGGGAAACTTGTGATCTAATTTCTATGAATGTATAAATGCATCTATCAATCTTCTATCTTGTTCATCTTTTGAGGGTTTGGAGGGCGTTAGCTGCAGCCAATCAGCTGACACTGGGCGAGAGGCGAGTCTCCAACTAAGCCAACGCTAATCTGCACGACTGTTGATTGTGGGAGGAAGCCGGAGAAGAACACGCAAACTCCAGGTAGAAAGTTGAAAAGACAGATTCTGTATCAGTGACTAAGCAAATCTGTTTGTATTGGCTGTTGAAACGAGAGCACAAGAGGACACACGCTGACGAGCAGCTCGGCCATTTGAGTCGCTCTTCTTCTGGGTAACATTTTTTATCACCTGGTTGTTAAACTGTCTCTGCACCAAAGTCAAACAGACGTTCTCGTGCGTTTACTGGACTTGGCACGTAAAGAGCATCAGCAACAACGACAAAATCTCCTCTGCATTTCAGCGAGTGCACAAGAGGACAAGCTTGATGAGCTGCTGGGGCACTCGCGTCTGTTTCATATGCTTAACATGCATCCAAACACAGCTCCCTGGCAACCGACCAGAGCAGCCGGTGCCAGCACCAGATGGGGTGGCGGAACTAAATGTTACCGGAAATACGGCCGCAAAGCACAACATGAACTGAGGCATTTGGCAGATGAGCGACGACGTTCCGGAAAGACTGAAGTAATACAGGCTCCAGATGTGATGTCAGCAGACGCGGGTCGAGCACCGAGAACGCAGACTTAAAAATAAGAACGGAAACATGACCGCTGTTCTGCGACTATGGAAGCCTACTGTTTTTAATCTCAAGTTCAACATGAACTCTAACCTTAACGCAGAGAGACTGCAGCTGCACAACAGACATTTGCATTCCCACAAACACATCATTGCAGGAAATTCTAGAAAGCAGCTCAAGTTCGGTGGAAACAGGTTTACCAATTTACCAACAAACACAAATGAGTGAAAACAGAGGTTAGAAATAAGAATGAAACTTCCTTTATGATATAATTCTTTTTTACTGTTGGGACGTGATATGATTTCATGGAATCTGAGTCCTACCGAGACCCACATCTGATCTATTTAGGTTTCAGGAATTCTACGCGATGAAAGTTTTCTGTTATTTCATATTCAAGAAAAGAAACTTGGAGACTGTCTTTCAAAAAATCTAAAATTCTGGTTATTACAGACTACATGCTTGTTACGATATAATGTTGTTCCATATTGTTTACACTGCATTTAACTGGTAAGAGAAACAGTGAATGTGCACTTCAGCCTCAGAATCTGATGAATTCATCTCTGCTCCTTAAACAATGTTTCGGCCACGACTCCGTCTTTAGACTCCTGCAAAATGAATTATGACCCCAACTGCCACCAATCAGACGATTCAACAGCTGCACTGCGTGTCAGGCCAGCTTTTGCCATCAAAGCCATAAACGGATCCTTTGATGGCAGCCATGGCGGCTGGGAAAACGGGCGTTAGCGACGGGCGAACAGACGGCATCTGACACTGCAGGTTAATAAACGCTGGAGCACCCCGCCGGGATATTCACGCTTCTCGAAGACTGAACCGAGCGCGACCAAGATGAAGGATGTTTTCAGGGCCGAGGCTGCAAATTTCAATCCAGAGGGAGCAACAGAAAAATACAGTGAGGAGGTCAGAGGTCAGAGTTCAGAGGCATCAGGAAACCTGTTGAAAAGATCCAACTCGTTCACATTTACTTCTGTTTTTTTTTTAGATACAGTCATTTTCTGTTCCACAGTTTTATATATATATATAAATATATATAGATAAAGATGAGTATGAGTAGTTCAAGTGAACTTCCTGTTTGTTTTATCTGTTTGAGGGTCAGGAGACAGGAGACAGTTAGCTTAGCTTAGCATAAATGGTGGAAACAAGAAGAAGAACGTGGCGAGGGAGGGAGGGAAGAAGAGAAAGAAATAAATAAAGATGCAAAAGAAGAGAAAGAAAGATGCAAAGTAAGAGAAAGAAAGAAAAAGAAAGAAAGAAAAACAGAGAGATGCAAAAGAAGAGAATGTGTGCAGCTTGTGTTTTCAGGGTCAAAAGAAAGATGGTGGACAAAAAGTAAGTAGACTCTTGAGAGAGACGTGTTTTTTTTGTTTCGGTGAAGTTGAGGTCTTGTTTTTGATGATGATGATGAAAACTGATGAAATCCTCTCGACTGGCCAAAGGGCCGTGACACAGATCTCTGCCTCCCTCTAGTGACACACTGCGATAACAGCAGCTTGTTTCACCAGGAGATTTCACCTCCACAGAAGAGATTATATTTTCACCTCTGTCCAAATGTTTGTTAGCAAAATCTACTGGATGGATTTCCACGACACCTGGGAGGACGAGGTCAAGTCAGGGAAGAAGTCGCTCAGCATGCATGGGTAAAATGTCCCCATAATCTAAAAGTGATCTTTAAAAGTCACTTTCATGTCTCCTCCCACCCCTCACAGATTTAATAATCATTACTCACATCGTGATTTCAGGGTATTATCTCCATTTTCCTCTAAAGAAGTGTTTTCCACAAGGCTTTAAACCCATTTATGAAAATAAAATTCTGTTGTCATTCAGGCCGTAAACTCAGGAGCTGTCGCTGTCTCCAGATAAAGAATACGTCCCTTCAGTTTAGCACATTAAACATCACCGCAGGTACGGGTATAACAACTTTAATCCATTTTAATAATTCTGCTGAAGGGGTGTAACCTGCTGCAGAGCCAGATTTAAATGTGGAAGTTGGACTTTTCCAGTCGCTGTGCAGAGAGAAACGTCCAACTACCGACAATGTGTAGCTGAGATAACGTGGATTCAAATCATGGGTTTGTTTTACTTGTTGTGAGCAGGATTACACAAAACGTGGTGGAAGTAAATAATTCAGCGTCATTAAATATACACATTGGGATGGAGAAAGTGAAGGAGCGCTTGTAGACGTCTCCAGGAGTCTGACCTCTGTTGGACAACTTCTCCAGCAGCATCCTGAAGCGTTGCACTACAGACGTGGAGACATCGTAGGTGTAAACGTCCTTCACTGGAACAGAGTGACACTTCCCGAACATGCCATCTGTGAACACGCAAAACACACACTTAGAGCAGGGAATCCAACACGCTTGGAAAACACTCAATCACATGATTCTAAAATGCTAACAAACACAAATATTACATCGGCTGAAGTTTGTTTGTTATTATTCTTCTTTAGCAAATTAATTTATGTCCATTTATTACTAAACATGGATCCATGTCACACAGTGTTAATGTGAAATACCGCAGAGGCCAGTGGGAGGCGGACTCTGTCCAGAAACTTTACATGATCCCATTTTATATTCACAACTAATTCAGGCTAAAACGATGTTTGTGCAACTTTTAAGAAGCTCAGACTGTAACAAGGACAAGATCCTGAGTTCCACCCCCCCAGGCCTCGTGTTTCCAGCTACCATCTCATGTAACACCATTTCTGTGCCTCCCAGAAGCAACATCTTGAATTATCCCTCATAATTACACTTGCATGCATAAATCTGCAATTTCCACGACCACAGGCCTGTAATTCTGAGCCAGACGCATCTTCTCGTGATTTATGGTCCAGATTAGAGCAGAATGAGGATTCATGAGGCCGTTCTCAGAAGCACAGGGTGTATTAAGATGGAGGAGACGGAGCGACACTGTGCTGCTGACCAGTTTGTTGTTCTGTGTTTGAAAGTGAGTAAAAGGCCCAAACACCCGGTGACACAGGAACACAACTGAAGATCCTGAGAAGCAATAAATATACAGTTAGCTCAGAGTTATCGTTTTGTTTGTCTGTCTGTTAGCAGGGTCACGTAAAAACTACTGAACGGATTACTACAATACTTGGTGGAAGGATGCAGTACGGGTTCACTTCACTCTCACACAGAATTCATGCAATAAAAAGCGGCCTGGCACGAATGCACGAATGTTGCACTACAGATTCAGAGTGAAAGACAAACTGCAGCGCATGCATGCCACTTTCAAATGACATCTTTAATTATCTTTAGTGAAATTCACTGAAAATATGACTCAGGAGCAGATCAGGGTTTAAAGCTAAATACAAGAAAGAGAGAAAATCAAAGACATCGTTAGCTTAGAGCTAATTCCTGCGCCGAGACTTTGAAACAGAGATTTTTAAAAGCTTCCATCAACCCCTCAGCAAGACGCAGCTAAAAGGAGGAAACTATTCAAATGAGCGTTTTTTGAAAGCCCACAACACGCTCGTCGAGAGATTCAGACCTTCAACTCTCTGTGATGTCGCATGACAACTGTTGCAGTTCAGGAGACAACACGCAACAGGGCACAGACGGGTAATGGGCCAGTTTAGTGCTGCTCCTCTAGAGCCTGTTGCCATGGTGATGCGTCAAGTGCTTTTTGTCCCTCACAGCTAATCAAGGGGAAGCAGGGTGTGTGTGTGTGTGTGTGTGTGTGTGTGTGTGTGTGTGTGTGTGTGTGTGTGTGTGTGTGTGTGTTGTCAGGGAGAGGCATGTGAAGGAACACCTGCGCTGCGTTCAGGCCGTTACTGGATGTGTTGACCAGTTTATGAGCTCTGTGAATTAAATGAAATTCTACACACTGAACCTTCAACAGACCAAACTCGTGTCACGCTCATCAGGGTGTGAAGCTCGAACTGTTGCGATCCAGGTTTAAACGTGGAAGAAGAAGAAGAACACTGAGAATGTAAAAACTGTTTTCGTTCCTCTGCTTCCAAACTGACGATTTCAGAATCAAAAAACAAACTGGATGTTACACAATGAAACAGGGTTTCCTCTTCTTCATGGTTTTAATGTTTGACTGTAAAACGGGGATGTTGTACATCTCTCTGTGTTCAGCACAGGAGTAACGACACATGTGGGCAGCACTCGATGGGCAGCCGAGGAATCAGCTCTGCTCTGCTCGAGTTAACGAATCAATTAAAGCGGAACTAGAGGACGGAGTCTCCTCCATGTTGACTCAGCTCCTTCGTGATGAGCTCCATTACAGCTCAGTGAAACCAAGGGACCCAATCAACAGCTGGGGGGAGGGGAGACACAGTTTTAACTCCAGCCTCCTACACAAGTACTCAGAAATCCCTCATTACTACTTTATTAATACTTTATTAAACGAGTACTCAGTAATTCACTAGTACCTTATAGCAGAAATACTCAGTACTCATACGTATACTACATGAATACACAGCAGTCATCACTACATTATTACATGAGCAGTAAGTCATTATTACATTACTATTATTAATAACCATATTGTAGTATTCTGTTATGTAATAATAACTGTATCATCATTATTATTATAATGAATATATTATATATATTAGTAGTAATAGTAGTAGTGATAGCAAGAGTGTAGTACTATGGTAATAATCGATATATTTATTACATATGTATTATATACATCCGAGTCTGAACCGTATATTATTATTATTTCACCTGCTGGTCAGTGCTACGATCATCATCATCATCATCACCCATCAATAAAGGATTATCTGATCTGTGTGCATAAGAACTGAGTACTAATAACTATATTAATACATGAATACACAGTAGTCATTACTACATGAGAACCACCTGAACCTGTTTTCTAACTCAGCCTTTGTTTCCTCTCAGATACGTCTCTGCACAGTTTCTGCACCTTACACCTGGCTGGTGAATTAATGTCATTACCATTTACTTCTGTATTATTTTATTATACTTATTTATATATATATATATATATATATATATATATATATATATATACAATATATTATTATACATATTTATTATATTATTTCAGTTGTAATTCTATTTTCTCAAACTCCCCTGAAGCACAGAAGCCATACAGAGAAAAGTGACATGCACTCCTTCATTAGATAATAGAACAGAACAATAATAGACAATATCCACACGCTGGGAGTCAACACTCAACACACACAACGAATCGAGGTCACCTGAAGCTACACAGACGTCTGAGCTCAGCTAAAAATAAAATCAGATGAGGATATAATCTTTTTTTTTCACTGCACCAGACGCACGATTAGATTACGGGAAACATTTCAAAAGGACGCGGCAGAGACAGGAAATGACCAAGGTAATGAAATCAAAACAAACACACCCTACCTGAAACAAACACGCTGGGTCAGCTGTGTACACGACGGCAGCTCCTAACACACTGCACATCCCTAATAAGAAGGTGCAACAGATGATCGTGTTCTGTCTGTGACTTACAGGCTGATGAGTGAAGCCTCATCTGCACAAACAAGAGTTTGTGATACAGAAAATAAAAGGTTCGCTTGGAGAGGTGTGGTGACGTATAAAAACACAGATGCTAATGATTTTCTGTTTTGACTCTGGGTTGATTCTCAGCAGGCGTCTCCTTCCTCTGGCCACAGAGGGTTTATTATTTATATTCAGGAGGTTTAATTACACAACAAAGTGTACAAGTACGAATCAACACATTATCATTCATAATAAAAGTGTCTGAAGCGTAAACCCTGCCTCCTCCATGTTAGCAGATGGAACATACTCGGTCGTTCGCTTGGTTGGAAGTATTTCGACTGATTTAAACGACACCTCACCTGTAACTGCCATCATTAATACATTATTATTAATATATTTCACGGTTGCTCATGTACCTGGTGATTATACTTTGATCGACCTGTCACAAAATCAAAATTCAGTTTAACCGTTCTCACTCAACTTGAAGGCGAAAACTGATCCGTGCCTTTTGATTTGGGTTTCGAGCGGAACGCGTGAGCGACTTTATACATAACGATTCATATGAACAAACAGTCCCTGTCTTTAAATGTGTGTGTGGTTGAAATGTCTTACCGTTCACACAGATCTCATACGGTGAACACAGTTCGCTCTCAAACAGGCAACCTGGCAGAGAAGCACAGAAACAACAAGGTTAAGATTCACACACGATAAGATAACATCTCTCATTACCTCACTCACCGACCACCACTCTAGCAGCTTCTATCACCATACAAGTACTACTGAGTACTTCTGTTACTAACATACTATTAAGTGCAAACACCGCTCATACTTGCTCTAATGCTTCTTGCACTGTTGACAGCAGTTAATTGCGATTACATGTATACACACACACACACACACACACACATTAGGAACATACTCCGGGGACTTCAACAGGCAGTTTGCCTTGTAAAACGATGGGGGATGCTGTAACCATGGCAACACGTGCTCGTCGCTGAGTGCCTCTCTGATATGCAGTGATCAGAGAGTGGCGGTGAACGTAAAAAAAAAAACCCAAAGCGACAGAGGTTTTTATTTTGACATTTGACAGCGAGGTGCGTGTTGTGGTTTCCACAGTGAAGCTTTGTGCTTTCAAACAATGTAGGTTTAGATTAAACCTGGCGTCATCGCCGAGGTAACAAGCCTCCATCTTTGCCTGGGGCCGCTGCAAACGTAAAGATTCATTTAATTAACCATTAAGTTATTGTTGCCAAAGTTCCTTAACTGTCTCCACACAACTCATCCCATGACGTAATATTGAGGACATGAGTGAGGAGGCAGAAAGACTTCTCTCCATTTCCCTTCCTCCAGTTAGCGGAGGAGGACGCGGGGTCGGACTCTTGCTGCCACCCTGAGTTTTTGCTCTCTGGTTTCATCACTCCACGGCAGCACAGTGTCAAATAGGCTGCAGTATTTCACTGTGGACTGACGCCAGGTCTGCGATGCGGGACGCGAGGAATTTCAATCAGCTTCACCCTGTGAGCAAAGAGCAGCGTCCAGGCTGTGGCCTTTAATGCCTCCTGGGCCATTACGCTCACAGACGGGAGGAGGCACTACATTTCCCACAATGCCATCTGTCTGTTTGCATGAGAAACCTGCTGCTCCTGAGGGCCAATGGTTAAACCGAGAGAGCAGAGTCACCTTGAAAGATATGACCAGCCGTTCCATTACTCGGATAAACTTGCGTATGTGTGTGTGTCCATAGACCTCGACCTCATGTCGTAAAAAGTAATTCACGTCTCATTGACAACATGATAATAAGAAAAACCATTCAATGATTTAAAAATATTTAAATTCACGCTCAAAACACTGAAAGTTTTAAGATAAAGAATAAACTCGTGATACTCCGTTCTCCTGATACTTGGGATAATGAGCCAAATAATAATAAAGTGTTTCATTATTTGTGAAACTTAACTTCTGATATTCCACCTCTCACGTGACACGTAGCCTCGTCTCAGGTGTTTTTCTTTCTTCAACATGTCCCTAAATACTTCTGTCGTACTTCTGGAGCGTGGACTTCTGTCTCCATTACAATCCCCCCCCCCCACACACACACACACCTCCCCCCCGACCTTTTGGGTTTTCCACCACACAATGTTATCTGTGCAGGCGTGTTTACACTTCAGGACAGTTGATAAGAAGCCTGGTCGCAGATTAGAGGAAAAGCACTGAGCCTTCTCAAAGCGTTCCCCGGCCCTGGGCTTTTATTTTTAGTTTGTGTCGAGGCTGACTCACTTTCAGCTTTTTCTAATTAACTCTGTGTGTGTGTGTGTGTGTGTGTGTGAGAGAGAGACAGACATGTTTTCTGTTGTGTAGCACGCATTCAATGTTTCCTTTTGTTTTTTAAAACGACGGCAATCCAATCTGTTCGGGCCTCAGCTCCGACAGAAATGATCAATCGCAGCGAAACTCCACCTGACGAATCAGAGCAGCACGAAACGAGGGATTTGCAGCATTTGATCATTTCTATTCTGCCGCGGCTCAAACAGGAGGTGTGTGTGAACAGCTCGGGCCTAAATTGGAAGTAATCCCTCTTTGTCTTCCCCTCCGTCCGCCTCCATCACCTCCTCTCTCATCCCTTCATCCCCTTCCTCCTCCTCTCATCCCGTCCTCTCATTGTTCAAAGACGAAGCATCGATCCGTCCATCGGCCTTCGTGCTCGCAGCGTTCTTCAACTGTAGATCTCAGACGCTGGCTTCCCCGGTGAGAAGGAAAGTTAATGTTTCGTGTAACGTGCGTAAATCGTCCTGTGTTGAAAATGTTTGATTACAAGTTGTGGACGTAGATCAGGGGGATGTTTGTAGTCATTTAACTTTCAGCAAAGAAAAGGGTTTCTGGGTAAAGACAATTAGAATTGTTTGGTTTTTAACTGTGAGGACACAAGTGAAACATAAGATGCTCTCAGAGGTGCACCTCCTCTGCAGTTTCCCTGGAGGAGGTGCACCTCCTCTGCAGTTTCCCTGGAGGAGGTGCGTGTGTGAAGAGGAGGTTCCTCTGCTGCTGTGACATAACAGCACCTGAGAGACGCACCTCAGCAGCTCGGCCCCGCCCCTCCAATCAGCATGAATAAAATGTTAATCGGGCGTTTCCGTGGTTACAGTCACACCAGGCGAACCTGCGGTGACCTTCTCCAGATCCAGATTAATGATTAGGAGACGACCGTAAAGAGAGAGAGAGAGAGAGCTACAGAGAGAGAAAGAGAGAGAGAGAGAGACAGAAAGAGAGTGAGAGAGAGACAGAAAGAGAGAGAGAGACAGAGAGAGAGACAGAAAGAGAAAGAGAGAGAGAGAGCTACAGAGCGAGAGAGACAGAGAGAGAGAGAGACAGAAAGAGAGAGACAGACAGAGCGAGAGAGACAGAGTGAGAGCTACAGAGACAGAAAGAGAGAGAGAGACAGAAAGAGAGAGAGAGACAGAGCGAGAGAGACAGAGACAGAAAGAGAGAGAGCTACAGAGACAGAGAGAGAGAGACAGAGGGAGAGCTACAGAGA